ACACTGTGGGAGGATGGGGCACTGCTGCTGGGGACAGGGCAGTCATCAGAGCAACTCTTCACCATCTCTCACAGTCTAGAAGGAATGCCTGTTTCTAGGACAGGGTTCCTCAGTCCTTTTAATCCAAGGACCCCTTAGCCTTTCTGATAGAAGGGATCCATGGGCCATTGTCAGCAGTAATGCCCTGGGTGACAGAGGTGAGGTTGGATTTTGAATGCCTGTGCATCACTTTGGAAGCCCCTGTTGCTCTGGTTTAGGGTTCCGTGGTTGCTCTGTGGGCCTTGTGACCTCTTACAAACCAAGAACTGTTACCAGAAGACAACCTGAGAGGGTGTCCAAGTTCATTGTGAGACAGGGCTATGTGCCTTGAACCACTTCTGCAGGGAAGCAGCTGCACGCAGGGCAAGTTCCCACAGGCACTGCAGAGCTGGCTGGCTGGGCAGCAAAGCAGCGCACTGCTCTCCATGCCAGACTGCAGCTTTCCAACTGTAGCCAGGAGCTGTGTCTTGTCTTTATGCCTTTCATGGAGGCAAGGTCATTCCTTTCTCCATTCCCCCACCTCAAGCCTTATTGCAGAGGGTGTGCTGCCACCCCAGTGCATGGGGCTGGCTGCCTGAGCCCAGGCGAGGTCCCATGCCCGGGCTGCACAGCTGTGGGGGCAGATCCTTGGAGCTGTGACCATTGTGGATTGTGATGTTGCTGTGTGATGGAGGCTGATCTTCCCCTGGCCCAGCAGGTTTCTGTTCACCTCGCATGTGTCTGTCTCCTGCTACCTCCAGGGTGCCAGAGCATCACTGCCCCGATCTTGCTGGGGGGGGACGCTGAGCCCTGGGCACATCGTGGGGGCCTCTTTGGAGAGCTGCAGGTGAGAGCATGCCCATATCTGTGGGGGCTGAAGGAAGCGTTGGGAAGCCAAGATCCCTGCTGCTGCTCCTGGCCCTGCCATTGGGTTGCTGCAAGCTTGGGAAGGCAGAGCTGCCCCAGGCCTCTATGCCTTGGCTGTGGCTCTTGGGGTTTAGGGTGCCTCAGAGGGACCCTCCTCCTGCTGCCTCCAGGACAAGGTTTGGAGCCAGGGCAACCTGCTCCCTGATGGACTCTATCTCTTCCAGGCACTGCTGCCCGTGGGGAACAGCTGTGATCTCTTCTACCACCCACCTCCACTCTTCCCGTCCAGCCAGTTGTACCTCCTGCACCCACTGCTGCCCCTGGACAAGGTGGGAGCCACAGCCCGAAGGGGTGGCCCGCACCACTCAGGCCAGAGCTCACCTTTGCATGGCCTGTGCTGTACATGCACTAACAAGATACATGCTCGTCTGCCGCTGACCCCAAGACTGAGCTTGTAGTGCAGGGTGATGCAGGTGGGAAGGGACCTCTGGGGTCCAGCCCCTGCTCAGAGCAGGCCAGCCTGGGGCAGGTCACCCAGGGCTGTGTCCAGCAGCGTGTCAGCCCCCTGGGCTGGAGAGTGGGTGTTGTGGCCAGCGGCATCGGCAAGGACCATCACCCACCTCCCTGCGACAAGCACCCGGGCAGAGCCCCTCCTGGTAGCCAGCAGCAGGAGCGGGAGACCCGTCTCAGAAATGAGCAGCAGGCACAGCCACAGATAAACTGGCACAGACTCGGGGTTGCCAGGTTGCGAGGACTATCTCCAAAGCATCCCCAGCACTGATCTCCAGCGGTGGCCATGAGCAGATGCCAGGAAAGATCTAGAACAGGACAAGTCTGGATGGTGACCTCCTGCAGCCTTCATCAGTCTGCAGCTCTGGGCACTGCCTGAGCCTGTTGAGGTTCATTTCCAAATCAGTCCCTTTTTCAAACACTCATCTACTTTACAGGATGATTCCCCACTGGAGAGGCAGCAGCCTCTGTTAGTCGTGACCTGCTTGCTGCCAGGCCCCCTGCTCTATTTGACATCCCAGCAGTTTGATGGGATGGGAAGGGAAAGGGAGAATTTGGAGGTGGGTGGACACACAATTTAAACTGCTGCCAAATCCAGCACATCCCGGGGTTCCCCATGTACTACACAGTCTGCAGCAGACACCCTGCTCCCTCACCCTGCTGCCTCTCCTAGCTAAAGGAAATGCTAACGCTGCAAATCCAGCCATCATGGACACAACTGCACATCCCTGCTGAATACAGCACCCGGCAATGCACAGCTGCAGCGCTTGTAAATAACAGAGGAGGAGTTGCAAGCACATGAGAGCGTATTATAAGTCAGACTGCAGCTGCCAGCAATTCCCATTGCAAGAGCTTGTTTTCAATTGCCTGTTGTCAGATTTCATCTGATCAAGCTAAACTTTAACAAGCTGAATGTCTGTGTCCAGTGAAACTTTGAGAGAAAAATTCAGCTAAGCACTTCAGCCCGTCCTGGGAATGGCGCTCAGAAGTGCTCTGTCCTGCCCTTGTTGTTCAGTGATCGGGGCAACTTTTCCTTTGAGAAGCAGTGCTTTTATCCGGATGTTCTTTTCGCTGATCCTGGAGCAGCAGTAAACTCAAATCTGACCAAGATGGGAAATTTTGAGATGTCCCACTTTGCACATGGTCTGTGGAGACTTGAGTTTCAGTATTGGTTTTGCTGCCGTTCTGGCTGCTCTGAGCATGCTCTGTCCTGGGGCAAGCAGCATTTCTTCAGTAGCTGCTGTTCTGGGATGCCTGACTGGAATGGCAATTTCTCATTTTGAAGTGTTGCTGTGCTGTGGCAACGAGCCTCAGAGGCCAGCAGAAGGTGGTGCACGGTGCATCACTTCGCGCAGATGCCAGCGCCCTTGGATGGCTGAAGCACACAGCTTCATACCTTCCCCTGGCCAGGACATGCTGGAGGCCACAGCCCTGGTCGCGGTCCCTCTTTATGGTCCACTCGGACAGCTGCTGGTACACCGTGCTCTGGCAGGGGCTGTGGCAGGGGCGGCAGTCAGCTGAGGGGCAGCAGTAGGGCAGGGATTGGGCAGGGCAGGCAGAGCCAGGGCTGAGGTGTATCTGGGTCTTCCAGGGAGAGCTTTACCGAATGTGCCAGGAGAGTTTGGACTGTGACCCCAAAGTTGCAGAGATCCTCGCGGCCCACCCTGATCTCCTTGGTGACAGGTGAGATGTGGCCCATCTGGGGCTCCCTCTTGCCAGGTGTGTGCCGAGTCCGGCTATGTGCTGGGTGATGCAGGGCCGTGGTGTGAGGCAGTGGCCTCTCCTCGCATCCGTGTGGGGACCAGCTCTGCCTGCACCACAGCTGGCGGTGGCCTCACCCTGTGGGAGGGTATAGGGAGGGCAGTCCCTGCACTAATGTCCAGCTGGGTCGTGGCAACTGCAGTGGGGATGGACCCGCTGTCCAGCCTGGCTGCAGGGGGATTGCGGTGGCTCCCCTTGGCTGAGGGCTTCTGCTGGGGGGGTCTCAAAGGGACGGTCCAGTGGGTGCTGGGGTGCTGTCCCGCTGGGGCAGGAAGGAGAAGGCTGGCTGGTCTGAGCTTTCCCTGGGGCAGGCTGGGCCCCATGTGGCAGCTCAGCGGTGCTTCTGCTCTGGCTGGCAGGCTGCTGGGCAGCTTCCTGAGCCTGAGCCCAGAGTACACATTTGGGCTGGAGGATGAAGGCGGGCCATGGGGCTACGCAGCCGGAGCACTCTGCGCTGAAGGCTTCCTGCAACAGAGAGACAGCAGCTGGCTGCCGGCCATGCGGCACAAGTACCCCCGAGACCTGGGCGCAGGTGCGCCAGCTCTGGGACAGGTGAGGGGTACCTGGAACAGAGGGGAGGGGGTATGGGGGGGATGGAAGAGGTTCCCTCATTTGTGTTTGTCTCCTGCAGGATGCCCTGGAGGAAGCACTGCTCTTCTTCCACACAGAGCCACCAGCTGTGCCCCTGCCTGTGCTGCGGCGCTTCCCCTCCCTGGTGCAGCTGGGCACAGCCCCCCGTGTGCTGGATGTGGGGGCCAGCCGCAGCCTGGCTATCTGCTTGCTGAGCGCACTCAGGGCCAATGGTGAGCATGACCTCCCCGTGCTGGGGGGACTGAGGCCCCCTTGATCTGGCACAACCCCGTCCTGACTGCTCCCTTGCCCACCCCAGAGCTGGGAGCCAGCCCCACCTGCACCCCACCTCTCAGCACGGGGCTGGGGTAGCCCTCACCAGGGCTCCCTGTCCCCTCTCTGATGCAGTCTGGCCCCAGCTCCCAGGCACTGTGCCCTCCCCTTGCACCAGGGGACACGTGGACCTGTGTCTCAGGGCATCACGCAGGCACCCAGTGCCAAAGGGCAGTGGAGAGGCTGACCCCTTGTGGAGGGGCACCTGCACCCCACCTCTCAGCACGGGGCTGGGGTAGCCCTCACCAGGGCTCCCTGTCCCCTCTCTGATGCAGTCTGGCCCCAGCTCCCAGGCACTGTGCCCTCCCCTTGCACCAGGGGACACGTGGACCTGTGTCTCAGGGCATCACGCAGGCACCCAGTGCCAAAGGGCAGTGGAGAGGCTGACCCCTTGTGGAGGGCCCCCCAGCCACTGGCCCCCAGCCCCAGCACTGGGTTCCTGGTGCCAGGGGCCTGACCTCTCACCTCCCTTCCAGGGTCGCGGGGAGTGTTTTGCCAGGTCAGTGCCGCTGACCAGCAGCAGCTGAGCTTCTACAGCAAGCTGGGCTTCGTCGCCCTGCCAGTGGCCTGGGGCATCTCCCCTGGTGCTCGGCTCCTGGGACGTCTCCTCTAAGCACACTGCGTTGGGTGCGGGCACAGGGAGGCAGTGCCATGGGACAGGCTGACCCCCCCATCCCGCACAGCATTGGACTGAGGGAGCAGGAGCAGAGGGGTACCTTGAGCAGGGCAGGTTCACACGATGGGGGACATGGCCTGGGAGTGAGCAGTGTGTCACTGGGATGTGTGCAGGGGACTAGGCTGTGAGGGTCCTTGGGTGAGAGAGGTATTTCTGCCATCTCAGGAGATTTGGGCATCAGGGCCCCTCCACTTCTCCCCCAACTGTTCCTGCTTGCTGAGCACCCTCCACCTTTGCTGGGGAGCCAGCAACATCCCCAGGCTGTCTGCAGACCACCAGGCCTGGCAGGAGCCACATGGGCAGTATTTAGGGTGGTGGTCTCGGAGCATGGCACAGTGCATTAGCGCTAAGGGAATGTCCCTATCCCACAGGCTGGGCTATCCAGCTCTCTCCATCCCCTGTGTGGCCCTAAGCTGGGCAGCTGGTGCTGGGGCTGGCTGTCGGCACCAAGGACCTGCTTGTCTGTATGGACTGATCTGGTATGGGACACAGTGAGGCAGCCTCCATCTCTGCTGCCCAGGGGCTGAGGGAAGTGCTGTCCTTGGCAATAAAGCATTTGCCGGGCTCTCACCATGGTTCGTCTCTCGGGGGAAAGTGTTGGGGTACCAGCATGTCCCTCTCACACCTCTCACACCCACAGCCAGCCCTGTTTGTCCACCTCACACCGGCTGTTGTTATAGCCGGTCCTGTGTAACCTCAAACGAAGCAGCTCCCCACACATCCACCTCTCCAGCTGCTCACCAGCCCTCGGCCTCCCCCTGCACTGCACTCCAGGAAGGAGCTTCAGGCGCTGGCAGTGTGTGCTCACAGCAGGGCTCCCGATGGGTTTGGGCGGACCCCAACCCTACCGGATGGGGCTCTCCTGCAGGATGGGACCCCCTGGGCCTGGGCCTCCCCTGTGGTCACAGCTGCCTTGTGGGTCTGG